GCTGACGTGCATGTTTGGAATGGAGCCCAGTGGCGTGGGATGTCCTTCTATATGCTGCAATACGTGTTCCTTTGGCCTGTGGCAGGGCGGAATAAAACTAGGCAGGAAAACCAAGTGGAATATGGGGGAAGACACCCGCAGCTACCGAAGAAGCAAGATGTGAGGTAACAAGCCTGGAGCCTCTAATAGAAAGGGGTTAATTTAAATTCTAAGAGCTAGTTAATAATAAGCCTGAGTTAATAGACCAAACAGGAGAAGTGCTGTGGAGAGGCTCTGGAAACCTCTCGCGTACCCCAGGTAGGCAGGCCCAGTGACCCTCTGTGACAGCATCACTGGTCAGCTGTGGGGCAGCAGGCCGGTGGATACAGGGCCTTTCTCTTGTGTGTCTAGCCTGAAGGATCCTGCTGCCCAGTGAAAAGCCACGGTGGCTCAGCAAAATAATGTTGCTCCAAGCAGCAATCAAACGCCTCTGTGTTTGCTTTGTTTTGCTTTTTTTCTTCTATTTGTCTTTATTTTTTTATCCTTTTTTTCTCCTCCTCTGTAGTAGTTTGAAGATGTCCACCACAGTCTCCAGCATCTGAACACTTGGTCACCAGCGGTGGTACTGTTTGGGCATCTGTCCTTGCTCTAGGAGATACGTCACTGGAGATAGGTTTTGGGGTTCAAAAGTCACATGCTATTCCCAATTATTTGTTTCTCTCCCCTGTGTATACATGTGCACACACGTGTGTGTGTGCTTTGTACTTGCAATTTAAGAGGTGAACAAACACTTAGCTTCTGCTCCAGCTGCTGGAGCCAGGTGGGTTCATCAGGGCAAAGGTACGTTCTAAGTCTGACGGGGCATGATTCTGAAGAACCAGCCTGCCTCGATTTTAGGCTTAAAGTCATCCTATAGTAAAGACAAACTAGGTTCATTCCTGTTTACGATTAAACCTGTTTCTCAAGGATTGGGGCCTGCTGTTCCAGGAATGGCAACCATGTCTTTGTTTCTGGAGGGACTAATTTGCTATGCCTATGTTTGGTTTCTGCGACCCCACCTATCTTGTCCTCCAAATTCGAACCCCTACTCCTAGCTATAAAAGCCTTCTCTTTCTCATATCCAATACTGACCTCTTGAACCCCCCACAGGGGGAGGCAGCCTGAGTATGCAAATAAAATAAAAGCTTGCCTTAATTAATTTGGCCATGATGGTTTGAGTTAACAGTCTCCCTCCTCACACCTTTGGGATTAACAGTCTCTGTTCCTTTGTGAGGGAAGAGCAACAGGCTCCCAGGAACTAGTGGCCACATCCTGAAATTTCAGACACAGTTTTACTTGGCTTTGCATCTCAGGGGCTCAATGGGCTCCCTAATACTTATTATGTCTAGAGTGAGAATATTTAACACACCTATACTAAAAACAACAACCGAAGCCAGGCATAATGGCTTGACATCTGCTCGTGAGCTAAGTACAAGAAACCAGCCAAATGGAGGAAGAGGTTCTTTGGTTTAAGGCGAGAGAATGAAGGGCCAGTGGGTAAAGTCTCTTGCGGCCAAGGCTGACAACCTTTGAGTCCTGGGAGTCACGTGGCAGAAGTTGAAATCCTCAAGCTGTCCCCTGATCGCCACACCTTTTTACTTGTCTACACAGGTGGGCGCGCACACACACACACTCAGGCACATGCAGGCACACATGTGCACCAAATTAATGAATGTGATTTAAAACAAACAAACAAAAGACCAATTTACCATCTTCACTCCCTGATTGCACCTAAATGACTTCCATGCACGCTGGAGTTGGGCAATAGAACGGCAGTGACTGTGTTCTGTTTATTCCAGTGGTGCAAGGATTCGCATTCATTCCAGCTGGAAATGGCCTGAGGCAACCCTGGGTGAGTAAGGAACCTTTGGAGGAATCAAAGCAGGTACGGCCCCGGAGCTGAACAGCGAGTCATTCACTCTAGGTTTCAAGCCCCAGCAGGAGCCAGGAACAGCACTCAGAAAGAAACTGGGTAAACAAAGCCACTGCTAACAAGCAAAATGGTGTCCCTCCCCCAAGGCACTGGAGAGAGGAGCCAGAGAACAGAGCTGGGAAAGGAGGAAACTGGCAAGTGAAATAAACCAGACAAGGACCCAGCAAACCGACAGCAGGAATGAAAGTGAAAGCCAAAATGGAGGAGGGGTTCTTTTGTCTGACGCAGGAGAACGAAGGCAGTAACTCTGGGAAAGTATTAAATCTAATTTAAGCCAAATCTAAAAATGAGGTGGACGGATTATAAAAAAGAAAATTTCCATTTTTATTGAAATACAAATTAGTAATGGCAGAAAAAACAGGCTTACAGCCAGTGTTAGTTCAAAAGATGTCCCTTAGAAACAAAATATTATTACAAAAGGCATATGTAATTTACCAGGAAAAGGGCCACACAGATCTCAGGCAAATCAAAGTTAGGCAGAGGCACAGCAGAGTCAAGAGCTCTCTCTGGCTGTGCCAAGGAGGCTGACCGTGTCTCTTTCCTACCCCCTGGCCATGCTGGAGGGGAGGTAACGTTTCTTTAAGTACCCCCTGTGTGCTGACATTGTTCTTTTGTTCTCATAGACAGTCAATCTATGTATAAGGAAACAGCTTTTAAAAAACACTAATGTCAGAATCTTCCGTTGTGGCAGAACCACAGCTCCCAACTCAAAGTGGATAGGACATAGTTTATCCTGGAGTCAAATATGAGTGCCCATGACCAGGTGGCACAGATTTAGGTTATCCAAAATTCTATGTTCCAATATGGCAGTTTCATGAAGTTTTTGTAGTAGTAGTTAATATAGTTAATAGTTAATAGTGATCACGGTTCGGTGTTCCAGCAAATCAAGGTACTTCCTGCCAAACCTGACAATCCCAGTTTGATCCCTGCGACCCTTGTGGGAAAAGAGCACCACTAAATGCATAGGGAAATGAATAAATGATTTTCCCCCAAAAGACACTTCTCAAACCCACTGGTAGAGACATCCAAGAAGCAGGCTGCAGAAAAGCGAGGAAACCTTTGCTACAGGCTCAGATGTTATCTGAGGACACTTTCAGCTCTTGGTCAGTGGAAGATATGGGTTCACCAAAGGGAATCTGGTGCTGTCTATACATTCCAATTGATTTTCCTGGTTGGCACAAAGCTTTCAGTCAGCGAGAGCATGGAGGTGAATAGATCTAAGAGGGTTGAAGGTGGCCTCTGGACTTGTGACAGTCCAGACTGTCCCCAGTCACCACAGCTCCCAACAGTCAGCCTTGCAGAAGGTTCGGTTTGAGGAGCAGCTTCTTCCTGGAGAGTTTTGTTCACACTTCCTTGGCTTCCCAAAAAATTAAGGTCATGAAATGTATTCTTGGCTGCACTGACTTAAATTATCAAGGAACTCTCCTTGTGTAAAATATCTCAAAATGTTCTGATTAAAAGAAGCATGTTAGAGAACATGAACACGCTAACAACTGGCATGTATGTATCTGCAGTACAGTGAACACGCTAACTGGCATGTATGTACCTGCAGTACAGCGAACACGCTAACTGGCATGTATGTACCTGCAGAAGTCTTCCACTGGCCTGTAACTCACCAAGCAGGTTTGCCAGTATCCGCTGAGCCCAGGGATCCTCCTGTCTTCCCCAGCTAGTGTGTTAGATTGTTAGTATACATATGCCCTGATGCATCTTTCTCATTCATGCCCCCTTTTGTACTGTTCTGCCTCCCTGAAAGCCTTCTTAAAAGCTGTAGCTCATACCTGTAACTCCGAGCTACAGTCAGTTGAGTTACTGTCTAGTTAGGGCTACAAAACTCTATTGCAAAAATTACTATTTGAAAAAAATAGCGTTTTTGTTTCATTTAGGCAGACAAAATAATCAGTGCAGTTGTTGGCTGTAGGTCTTTAGCTTATTGGACTTGAAAGGCCATCGATTAGCCTAGGAGATGCAGTTTCTACACCTCAGCCTAGATCAGCCCTGAACAACTTCTGCCTTTCCTACTTTACCTCTGATCTTTCTGTTCATTTCTTCAGTTTAGCCATTTAAAAACAAAAACAAAAAATTCCCAAATGTGTTTAAGTAGTGCCTTCTGGGATATCTTTGCCACCATCTTTAACTCAAGTCTCATGAATCTGTTTCCACATCCCTTCCCCCACCCCAAGTTAGTTCTCCTTTGCATTCCAGAAGCGGGCAGGATCATTGACTCTCACATATTATTGTATTCCTCCTTTTTCTCTCACAACATAGGGTGTCCTCAAAGTTTAGTGGAAAGAGATGATTCTGAATCATGGTAATATAAAGTTAAACAAGATTAATAAAAAGTCATTAGCAGACAAACGGCATGATTATCTTAGCCTTGCTCTTTATTTTTTATATACATTTTCTGCTTCCCACCTACTTCCTCTTTTACCAATTTATATTACAATTGTTTAGGGCAATGTTCCACACATAAGGATTTGTTGGTGTTAAAGCTCACCTCGGTAAACTCAAGGAAAAAATACAATTTGAGCGTATATTTTGATGCCTTCCATGAAGCAGGGAAAACCAGTCCATTGCAGGTGCCTCGGTCCTCTCTCATAAGAGTGGACTCATCATTAGTTGTTCCAAGAAGTTCTTTCGATTTGGGGATCCTCCCAGACCTAGCTCCCTTGATTTTGAGCCATTTCTCTTGTCTCTTAAGATCTGTTTAGTTTTGGGTAGTGCAATTTCCTTAACGCGTAAGCAAGGTGATGGATGGATGGATAGATGGATGGATGGATGGATGGATGGATAGATAGATAGATGGAATATAGATGGATGGATGGATAGATGGATGTATAGATAGATGGATGTATAGATGGATGGATGTATAGATGGATGGATGGATGTATAGATAGATGGATGGATAGATGGATGGATAGATGGATGAATAGATGGATGGATAGATAGATGGATGAATAGATGGATGGATAGATAGATGGATGGATAGATGGATGGATGGATAGATAGATGGATGAATAGATGGATGGATGGATGGATAGATGTATAGATAGATGGATGGATGGATAGATGGATGGATGGATGGATGACTTACAGGCTTATCCAACACTAGCTGACTATGAACAAAAAGTCCAAGAATCCAGTAGTTTCTCAGTCCATGAGGCTGGAGGTCTCATCTGGTTTTCAATGTGCTGGAATCCTGAAGAAGTAGACTGTAAAGCCAGTAAAGGAGTGGACTTGCTAGCAAGGAGAGAGAAGCAGGCAAGGAGCAAAAGCTTCCTTCTTTCATGTCCTCATAGACTTCCTCCAGCAGAAGGAGTGGTGCAGATTAGATCTAGATTAAAGGTGTCTTCCCAACTCAAGATCTGAATTCAAGGTGTCCAGATTAGAAGCAGACCTTTCCATTTCAAATAAGCAAAAGTCCTTACAGCTGGGCCATCTATTTTTGGGTTTTAATTAATTCCAGATGTAGTTATGTTGAAAACCAAGAATAGCCATCACATAGTGCTGAAGGAGAAACTGAGTATGACCCAACTTCACAGGCTTGGCTGGGGTTGGAAAGAACTTGGCCAGCAGTGTGAAAAACAGCAAAAGGTAGGTGCTGCTTCATTGTCAGGATGGGGTGGAAAATAATATGGCTGAAAAACTAGCAGGATAAAAAGAATGCAATAATGGAGAAAAATGTATAGCACAATAAAAACAAGAAAAAATTAAAAAGGAATGCAATAAGAAAGTGGCAGCTAAGACACAAGAAGTGAGAGCCTTGAGATGCAGATGCTCAGGAAAGCAACTGGAGCAAAGCAGAGTGATGGACAGGGACACATTTAAAAGAAGTGGTCACTCTGCTCCTTACACCCCTGTTCTTCCACCTTCATCCCTTGCTCCCCACTGGGCTACCTCTTCTCCATCCTTAGCTACTTCTGAAAATCAGAGAATCAGACAAGACATGTGGTCCCACGGTTTCTCAAGCCTATCTTTGCCTAAGCCCCAACTTCATACCAAATTACACAAAACAAGAAAGTACTTGATCTCTTTATTCTCAAAACATTATGGTGCTAAATAAAATCCAAGAGGTATTGGGTTAGTCTCTGATGCTTTAGTGGAGCCAGACTGGCCCAGGCGAGCGCGAGGATGGTCTCCAGGTCTGGAAGGTACTGTCTTACACACACCCCAAGTGTGGTGGGCATGACTGGAAGGTGGACTGTTTTGAGAAGGCAGCTGAGCAAGAGGGACAGCCATCAGAAGGGTGGAAGAAGAGCAAGGGGGAGGTGAAGGGCCGGAATCCTCAATCCTCCTCTTTCCTACGTGGACTCCAGTCAGCTGGCAGCCTGTTCGCGGGGCGGAATGCTCTCCATGAGGATCCAGACGAACTGCTCCAGTTTCTGTGCCGCTGCTTTCCCAGCCTCTAAGACTTCCTTGTGATTGGCCTTCTCCAGGTTTGCATAATCCATGACGACCTTGTTAGTAATGAGTGAGAAACCGAAGACGCGAAGCCCACAATGCCGGGCGACAATGACTTCTGGGACCGTGCTCATGCCTGATGGGGAGAGGGAGAAGAGGACCGTCATGTGCTTCTCCTCACCCGCCACTCTCCTAATTCACTAAAGCTCAGAAAGCAGCTAAATGAGTGTGGAACACGTGCTGACCACGTCTCTCCAGTAGCCCGACTAGTTTCTATACTCTAGTGCTCGTCTCAGGATGTGAGGTCAACTTCCAGTCACAGGTGCAGAAGGCAGCTGTGCTGATGTCTGTTGCTGTTGAAACTCAAGCTGGTCCACCACGTTCCCAGAAACCCAATTCCTCCTTCCCCAGATCCATTACCTTGCCCCCCCCCCTTCGCTATTTGACCAGATCCTTGCCTTCAGCCCCCAGCCAGCCAAATCCCGCTTCTCACCAACAGCATCTGCTCCCAGCATCCTCAGCAAGCGGCTCTCCGCCACAGTCTCGAAGTTGGGACCCGCCAGCATCACATAGGTGCCTTCCTGTAATTCCCGCTGCTCCCCCATTTGTTTCCAGGCGTTCAAAGCCTTCTGCCTCATATTCCGGTCATAAGCATCAGACATGGCAGGGAAACGGACGCCAAACCTGGAACACAGACAAATGGCACCAGTGGGCTTTCTTCCCCAACTCTTGGACAAATCTGGACCCCTGCATCGAGAGCAAAGGGCGCAGATACGTACCTTTCATCGTTGGGGCCGCGGAGAGGGTTTTGGCCAGAGAAACCAGGTAGATTTATGTGATCCCGGATCAACATGATGTCTCCAACTTCAAAGCTGGGGTTGAGGCCTCCAGCTGCATTGGTGACTACCAGTGTGTCCACGCCCAGAAGATGGAAAACCCTCACTGGGAATGTCACCTTAGACAGTGAGTAGCCTTCGTAGGTATGGAACCTGCCCTGCATCATCACACAGGCTCGGCCATTCAGGAATCCAAACACCAGGCGGCCAGCGTGACCCGGCACTGCAAACAGAAAAGGAAAAGCAAAGTGACAAGCAGGCGTGATGGCACTCAGGAGGCAGAAGCAGGCAGATCCCTGTCAGTTCCAGGTCGCCAGGGGCGCAGAGTGAGAGCCCGCCTCAAAACGTGACCATTCTTTCCTGCAACACACACACTGGCACTTACTAGAAACCACTCGTTGTGTTTAACGTAAGATGATATAATTAAACACAGGACAGCAGAAGTCTGGTTACCGGGTCGTCATAATCATACAAACGGAATATTTGATGTGAACATTAACAAAACAACAGAAAGGATTTCAAAAGATGTTTCCAGGCCGGGCAGTGGTGGCGCACACCTTTAATCCCAGCACTCGGGAGGCAGAGGCAGGCGGATCTCTGTGAGTTCGAGACCAGCCTGGTCTACAAGAGCTAGTTCCAGGACAGGCTCCAAAACCACAGAGAAACCCTGTCTCGAAAAACCAAAAAAAAAAAAAAAAAAAAAAAAAAAAAAGATGTTTCCAAAGATGGAGAAACTTGTGTGTTTGTTTCTTTTACGTTCTTCTGGTCACAGTTTTCCTTCCCTCCTCTCCTCCCACTCCCCTCCCCCACCCCTCTGCTCCCATGCCCCGATCTTCTACTCCTTCAGTTCTGTTTGGCAAAGGGCAGGTTTCCATGAGTATCAGCAAAACATGGTGTGTCAAAGAGAAACGCATATGTGAAGGAGCAAAAGTGAGTGCAAACCTAAGTCAGCATCAGTGGATTCCCATAATCAACTCTCACTATGCCAGCATCCCAAAGTCCAACAAGGAGGAAGAGTCCGTCTGAGACCCAGACAACTCGTTCTTACAATACCCATGCGGAGAACGTGGGGCTAGGGAGCAAGATTAACCGTTATCACCATCCCCATCTGACAGTGTCCTCTAGCTAAACTTCTTGAAGGAATGGATCTATCTGCCAGGAAGAGGAACTAGAACCAAGAAGAATCATAAGAAAATACTAGTAATAGAACAAGTTGACATACCTGAAAAATCCCCCAAATGAAAAGTAAGTCAATCAACTTCAAAGCAACTCATTACTTAGTACTGGGTTCTTGTCTGGAAGGAGTGGCAGATGCGGTCGATGCCACCACTATTTTCCTTTGCTCTTCTCTCTTTAACGTTTCTACTCTTTATCCCCATACCTCCCTACTTTGGCCTTCCAAACTTGCACCAAAGGAGATAAATTTTTTAAAAAAGCAAAAATCAAGTACTCTTGCTTGCCCTGTTTCACCTGGCCTTTCTAACCTGAGCCCATGTTTCCAGGCTGCGGTCGCAGGGCTACACTGAGATGTCGGAGCTCCATAATAATGGGGCATATGGGTCCCTTTCCAAAGCTGCTGTAACCACATGTTCTCTATACTAATCCCTGTGTGCATACATAACCACGTGGTGGCCATAGCGTTACTGTCGTCATGTGGATCTACGCTGTGATGGAGACACTGGGAATGGACATGTCCTTGTCCGGGGCTTCAGATACTGCTTCCTCCACTGAAGCCACGGACTGGAGGAGAGAGCACGACAGAGTATGTGTGCAAACAGGTGTGTGTGTGTGTGTGTGTGTGTGTGTGTGTGTGTACGCACGTGGGAGCGTTGTGGTGTGAAGGCAGCTGGAAGGAGTCAGTTCTTTCCTTTTAGTACATGGATCTTGGGGACTGAACATCATGTCTGAGGACAGGTAACTGGTGTAGGAGGTCCTTCTGTCTATGTTTTGCTTTCATTGGTAAATAAAGGAACTGCCTTGGCCTGTTGATAGGACAGAATTTAGGAGGGTGGGGAAGACAGAACTGAATGCTGGAAGAAAGGGCGGAGTCTGAGACGCCATGGATCTGCTGCCAGAGATAGATGTGCCAAATCTTTGACGGTAAGCCACTGCCATGTGGTGATATACAGATTAATAGAAATGGGTTAAATTAATATAAGAGTTAGCCAATAAGAAGCTGGAGCTAATGGGCCCAAGCAGTGTTTTAATTAATAGTTTCTGTGTGGTTATTTCAGTTCTGGGCGGCCAGAATGAACAAGCAGCTCCTTGCTACAGCAACTTTTCCTGCTGAGCAATCTTACCAAGGCAGCACACGCACAGGACATACTATAGAATTTCACCACCTTAACATATACCCACACACCGTAGAATTTCAATCAGGGCAATTTCTTTCTAAAGTCATTCTGATTCTACAGTAGTCAAATGATAGGACAAAAGTAGAAACATCTCCTTGATTAGATTCCACATAAGTTCATTATGGTGGTTTGAATAAGAATGGCCCCCACTCCGGTTGATAGTGGTGCTCACCTTTAATACCAGCAATGGGAGGCAGAGGCAGGCAGCTCTGTGAGTTTGAGACCAGCCTGGTCTACAAAGCAACCCAGAGAAACCCTGTCTCCAAAAACAAAAAACAAAACAAAGCAATCAAGCAAACAAAAAAGAATGGCCCCAAGGTGCATAGATTCAACTCAGGGAAGTGTGGCCTTGTTGGAGAAGTGTGTCACTGGGGCTGGGCTTGGCCTTAGGACGTAGCTCTTGTCTGTGGCTCTAGTGTCAAGCATGCTGCCATGCCCCACAACATGATAATGGACTAAACCTCAGACATGGAAAGAAAGCCCCAAAGTAAATGCATTCTTTCCCTAGAGTTTCCTCGGTCATCGCGTCTCTTCACACACCAACAGCTCCCAGTCCCAGCCAGTACCTGTGCTTTTGGGAAAGTTGGGTATCTCACTGTACTCAAAGACCTGGGCCTCAGTTAACTTAGCAGTCAGACCTCCTAACCCAGAACCACAGATCACCGCCACTTGAGGTCGATGCGTAGTGTGAGACCGAAGCCACTCAGCGGTGCTCTGATAATCTTCGTAAGAGAATCTGGGGGGAAGGAAACAAAGTGAGCTCACCTGCTGTTTCAAGTACATAGGAAAATGGCTGTTAGCGCAGAAAACCTGCTGGGTATTCTACCACAGCAGAGGACTGTTTACTCCTCCACTTCCCCATCTCTCCTTTGAACCAGTCCACTAACCGTCTGATGTGAAACACCCTTCATCCCAGAGCGCGAGAAAAGTTAATGTAGCCTGTTTCATTAACACACCCCGCAGGGCTCTGCCACTAAGTTGCACCCAGCACTTGGAGGCCCATACCTCTCCTGGTGACAGACATAGAACCAGGTTTCAGAGTTATGATGCAGAATCAAACCACAGAGAGGACTCAGAATGAATTAAGGCCTTCCCAAAGGCCAGTTTCTTGCCTTTTGTTTTGCTTTTTTTTTTGTTTGAGACAAACAAAAAAAGTTTCCCTACTTTGCCTACACTAATCTCCAACTCCTGGGCTCAGTGAATTTTCTCACCCCAGCCTACCACTAGAGTAACTAGGACTTAAAGCAGCTCTTTGGATGAAAATTTTTTTTTTCTAGTTTTGATTTGAAACAGGATTTCTCTGGGTAGCTCCGTCTGTCCTGGAACTCACTCTGTAGACCAGGCTGACCTCAAACTCACAGAGATCCGTCTGCCTCTACCTCCTGAGTGATTAAAGGCATGCGGCACCACCACCCAGCACAGGTGAAATTTTTTAAATTTAATTTTTAATTTAAAAGTTTGATTTAGTTGGAGCATACGTGTGTGTGTGTGTGTGTGTGTGTGTGTGTGTGTGAGTGGGTGGGTCCCAAGGACAGAACGTGAAGGGTTTGCAGTGACCGCCTTCACCTTTGGAGTCATGTCACCAGCCCTGAACTTTTTATTTTTATTACTTATTAATAAGCAATAAGAACACTCCTAGTAGAAGTCTATTAAGAGCCTTAGTTCCTGTGGACATGTTTGTTAAACTTGCTAAAAAAATCAGGAGTGGTGCACACCTTTAATCCCAGCACTCGGGAGGCAGAGGCAGATGTATCTCTGTGAGACCCAGGCCAGCCTCGTCTACAAATCGAGTTCTAGGACAGGCACCAGAGCTACACAGAAAAATCCTGTCTCAAGAAACCAAAGGGTTACCCGGGCGGTGGTGGCGCACGCCTTTAATCCCAGCACTCGGGAGGCAGAGGCGGATCTCTGTGAGTTCGAGACCAGCCTGGTCTACAAGAGCTAGTTCCAGGACAGGCTCCAAAAAACCACAGAGAAACCCTGTCTCGAAAAACCACAAAAAAAAAAAAAAAAGAAAAAGAAAAAAGAAAAAAAAAGAAAGAAAAAAAGAAACCAAAGGGTTTAAAAAGAAAAAGAAAAAAAAAAACTTTCTCACTCACGGTCCCAAGTCCAGTTCCATCACAACTAACTGTAAAGATTAAAGATTGCTCTTTGACATGGAACATATATTGAGCACAATTAGCTGGACGGTGTTGGCTCACACCTTTAATCCCAGCACTCGGGAGGCAGAGGCAGGCAGATCTCTGTGAGTTCAAGGCCAGCCTGGTCTACAAGAGCTAGTTCCAGGACAGGCATCAAAGCTACAGAGAAACCCTGTCTTGAACCCCCCCCCCAAAAAAAAAATAAAAATTGAGCACAACTAAAAAAACCTCAACAAATTTTTTTTCTTCCAGCAAGAAAGTCTTAAGTCCCAGTGGCAACCCCAGACTTTAGGATAAGGAGCCCAGCCTAGAGGTATAGGAGGTCTTTGTGACACACAGTCACAAGAAGAATTATAGGAGACAAAGAGGATGGCAACACAACAGGTTACCCTCGATGAAACAGCTAGGGCAGGGAGAGAGCAAGTCACAAGCAACAAAAATAGCAAGAAATGAATGAAACCACAACCCGAAGGGCGGGAAGAAATGGGGCATGACAACTGGCCATATCCAGCCACAGTGCAGTTCTCAAAAACATCTGACCCTGTGGTTATCCCTACAGCTCTGCTGGTGAATTAATCTGGAAATTCCCAACGCAAAACGGAGAGTTTTGTTTATTTGTTTGTTTGTTTTTCGGACAGAAAAGAGTGGAAGTCTTCTGAGCAGATCAATAAATATTTCTCAGCCTTCAAAGACTCCATTCCCAACTTGTTAATGCGACGTCTAGTTTGGAGGGAAGGGAGGGGCTGTCTTGGAAAGTGAGCAATTTTCCTTCTAGAGGAGGAACTACGGGCTAGCACAAGAGAGTTATGGTCTGGTTACCTGGACCTCTAGAATGCAAAGTTGTGTTATGAAGTGGCCAGGGCTGTACCCGCTTCTCCACAAGCATCCCAGCACACACAGAGGCACCAGTTCCCGACAGGAGTCGCCTACACTGCGCTAACCTGTTCCTTCCTGCTCCGGGCACCGGGCAGCTGGATTCCCGCGCCCGCTCGCCCGCCCGCCCGCCCCAGCGTTCCGGAACCCCGAGTCCGCCGCCGGGCTCCGCGCCAGGCCTCTCTGCGTCCCCCGCGGCGGGCTCGCTCCTTGCCTGGGCCCAGCCCGCTAAGCTCCCAGGTCTCGGCTACAGCCCGTCCACTCGGCAGAGGGTCCCGTCCCCGGGACCCACACTCACTCGTTGTTCTCCATGGTGTCACCGACGGCCGCGCCGAGATCCTGCCCTTTCCGCTCCGCAGGCGACACCGCCCGAGTCTGGCCGCCGCTGTTAGTGCTCGGTGCTCCGGGCCCGGCTTTATAGCCCCGGCCGGAGGCGCCAGCCAATGGCAGCGGCCTCGTCTCCATGGTGACACACCCTCATCCAGAGGTGTGCCAGGAAGCCTCGCTGGAGTCCTCTCCAGTCTGGGGCACCCAGCATCTCGACCCGCACACAGTCACGGTCCTCCCAGCCAGGAAAGGAGGCCTGTGTGGGCAGAGGACTAGACGCAGGGTGGAGAGCCCCGGAACCGCCGACCTGCAACTCCATTCTCCGCTGCGCTATTGTGTAAGAATTTGGAAAGCGAAAAAAATTCAAGCCATAGGTTGTGCAATCCTAGAATAGAATGAAGCAAAACGTTGACTAAGTTACTTTTGGGAATAGGGAAGTGGGGCCACGCGGGAGACAGGGCTGACTTGGTGCCTCCCGGATCTGCGGGAACACACAGCTCGAGGTTGGGTCTAGACTGCTTGGCTCCTAGACACAGACAGGATTGGCGACAAATGGAATGGATGCACCGTACCGGGTCCAGGCAATTCTGCCAACCCTGAGAACTGTCAGGAAGAAAACTCACGCAACAGAATTATATACACACACCCCACACACCTAAACAGTATACCGCTGTGCTAAGCATTCGAAATTCCTCCTCCTTAACCAAATCTTACTTAGATCTCAAAATCCATTTTCTGCCTCTCTACGGGGACTCTCTCCTGCCTGCTGTTTTACCACAACTCAAGCCACTGTTTCTCAATCCTATTTTTCTCATTCACTTAAAAATATCTATTGAGCCTTAACTACATACCAGTTTAATAGCTGGAAAGCCGGTGTACACACCTTTAACCCCAGAGATCAGGACAGAAGCAGGGGATCTCTGAGTTCCGGGCCAGCCAGCGCTGCTCATGGTGAGACCCTGTCTAAATAGTAGTAGTAGCAGCAGCAGCAGCAGCAGCAGCCTGGGCCAGTCTGTGCAGTTAGGGTGGGGAGGGTGGGAGTGGGGAGGAAAGAGAGAGAGAGAGAGAGAGAGAGAGAGAGAGAGAGAGAGAGAGAGAGAGAACAGCTCAAGGAAATATCTAATTTTTTTTGAGGGGGTCTTTCCAGACAGGGTTTCTCTAGCTGTCCTGGAACTCGCTCTGTAGACTAGGCTGGCCTCAAACTCACAGAGATAGGCCTGCTTCTGCCACTCCCACCCGACTTGACTGCTCTTTTTATTTTTTTATTTTTAATTGGTTTACATTATTATTATCATTATTAGGCCTTTTTGAATCATTAGGGCCAGGCATGGTGGCACATGCCTTTAATAACCTTTAGTGGCTTTAGCTTTGCCTCTGGTCTTCAGGCAAGATTTATTTATTAACTACAAATAATATACCACCAATATATGTCATCCATCCCCAAGAAAATTTCTGTGCCTAAATTTTCTCATCTGAAAAATGATTATAGTAATTTATTTGCTACTCTTGCAAGGATCATATAAAATATGGTTAAGTGTTTTGTTAAGTACCTGGCACTATAATTATAATTATAACCATACATCAAATGTTGGCTTTTACTATTTCCCATTGCTTCTTTTTATGTTTTAATACCCATGTAACTTTAAATTGGATCAAATAAAAATTAGCAGCTCATTTAGTCTATCATCATCATCTAGAATCCCACAATACTCAGAATAGTCACATGTGGTTATTAACACTTAATAAAATTACAATATCGTCACAAGTGCACATTTTTAATCCCAGCATTCAGGAGGCAGAGGCAGAAGAATCTCTAAGGTTGAGACCAGCCTGCTCTACAGAGTGAGTTTCAGGACAGCCAGAGCGACACAGAGAGACTCTGTCTCAAAAAACCAAACAGAATTCTTACGGAACCTCAAGAGCTGGGATGTACTTGGTAGAGTGTGTGTCTAGCTTGCATAAAGCGCTGGGCTCAGTCCCCAACACCACATAAAGCTGCTTTAACCAGGAACTAGGGCTCATGAAAGACACGAACCACAAGGGAACAGAAGTCCAGAGAAGTTTTCCCATTGCTATCCCACCCTATCCAACCTCGCTCTCTGGACTAATTTACTCTGCATGTTATGAAAATCGTGTTTTGAATATTTACTTTATGCTGGATATGGTAGCATATGCTACCACTCCAAACACTCCAGAGGCAGGGGCACTTGGCTCTCTGTGAGGTCAGCCTGATCTTCTAGAATTCTACAATGGCCAGGGCTACACAGAGGAACTTCGTCTCCAAAGCATATATGTGTTAACTCTAAATATGTGTATGTGTTTGTGGGGAGGGAGTGTACACCCATACAGGTGTTTATGAAAACCAGAGATGTTGAATCCCCCGGAGCAATTGTGAACCGGCTGATGTGGGTGCAGAGAACCACACCCGGGTCCTCCGAATGAGCAGTACACTGCTCTTCAGTGCTGATGTGGGTGCAGAGAACCACACCCTGGTCCTCTGCGTGAGCAGTACACTGCTCTTCAGTGCTGCTCCCTTCCTCTAGCTCCTCAAAAGCGTTCTTAAGTCTGGAGAGGAAGTTGATAAACCACCAACTCAGAGAAGAAAAGGAGTGGAGCACATGGCTAGAGAGATGCTCAGCTGGTAAAAGCACTTGTTGCTCTTGCTGAGGATCCAGGGTTGGTTCCTAGCAACCATGTTGCAGCTCACAACCATCTCCAACGCCAGTTCCAGGAGATCTGGTGCCCACTTCTGTTCTCCTCTGGCAACAGGAATTTACAAGATACATAGCCATACATGAGAGTAAAAAAACTCGCAAACTTAAAATAAATCTAAAAGTTAAAAAAGCATAAATAAAAAGTATAACATTCTGAGTTACAGACGTCAGACAAATACTGCCCCTGCTGCACCCATGCAAGCCATGTGCTAGTTACTAGTTACCATTTGGTTGGTAATGTGAAGAAAATGTTAGTATTTGCAGTTTCTTTCTTTATGTCTTCCTGCTAAGTTTACCCTTCCCTTCCCTTCCCTTCCCTTCCCTTCCCTATTTCCTTTCTTTCTTTTTGAGACAAGGTTTCTTTGTAGCTTTGGTGCCTCTCCTGGAACTCTTGTAGACCATGCTGGCCTCAAACTCACAGAGATCTGCCTGCCTCTGCCTCCCGAGTGCTGGGATTAAAGGCATGCACCATCACTGCCCTGCTATTGTTTTTTCTTTATCTTTCCTTTTATGAACAAATTATAGACTGAAGCTCCTTTTAATCCTCTATTTGAGGATGACCCCTCCGCACCCTCATTGCCACCCCAACCTCCTCATTGCGGACTGAACCTAACATCTCGTTCGTGCTGGGCAAGCTCTCTTCTATTGACCTGCATCCCCATGCACCTTATTTTGGGTTGTTGTTCTGAGACATTTCACTAAGTTACTCATGCTGGCTTTAGAATAACTATGAAGCTCGTTCAAGTCTTGAACTTGCATCCTCTTGCCTTAGGCTCTCAAGTATGGGGTCTGCACCGCCAGGAGAAAACTTGTAAAGAAGGAATTAAGTTAAATACAATCACAAGGTGAGAGGGACTTTTAGCTCACAGAAGCAGCTCCTACTGAGGGCATCAGCCACACTCCATGGGGTGGTTTCAGTAGGAATGGTTCCCATAGGCTGTAGATTTGAATGCTTCACACCAAGGAACCGAACTGTTTGGAATGATTAGAAGAATTAGAAGGCGGGGCTTTGTTGGAATAGGTCTGGCCTCACTGGAGGAAGTGTGCCACTGGGTGTGACAGGCTTTGTGGTTTCAAAGGCCCATGTGAGGCCCAGGCTCTCTGTCTACCTGAGGATCGTGATGAAGCTGTCCTGTACCACACCTGGCTGTGGCCAGGCGTTCTGTCATGTCTTGGTCACAGTGTCTCTTCACAACAACAGAACAGCGACTAAGACAGAAATTGGTTCCAGAAGAGGTGTTTCTGTGACATGCCTAACTATGCTCCATGTTGGTGAAATGTGAACTTTGAGACTTTGGGTTAGGAAGGAGCCGAATGCTTTCAGCAAGGCAGAAAGAACCACGCTGGTAGAAGCATGGAGGAGAGTGACCGAGAGCAGCGTAGACTGTGACGGCCCAGCTTAATGGGTTCCAGAAGGGGAGAATACGAGTGAGTGACCTAGAGGTTGTTCTTGTGGTATTCTGGGAACGAGTGTGGCTTTTTTTGCCCTTGTCCTAAACATCTGTCTGAGGCTGAACTGAAGAGTGGTTTGAATAAGAAACCCATGGCCTCCTCTATTTGAATGTTTTAGTCATTAGGGAGCGAGCTCTTTTCCAGCCCCACACCTGCCTGCCGCCATGCTCCCTGCTGCCATGCTTCCTGTCATAATGGACGAAGCCTCTGAAAGTGTAAACAAGCCTAATTAAATACTTTCCAAGAGTTACTTCGGTCGTGGTGTCTCTTCACAGCAATGGAACAGTAACTCAGACACCCCATATCCCATCTAGTACCTCCCACATGTTGCTGAACTAGCATGCAATAGTCCTAAGGTAGGGCAAGACACTAGGATCGACTTCCCGAGTTACTGCTCTGTCTGTCCAGTCTAGTGCCCTCTCAAATCTTCTAAACTCAGAAAAAAGGAATTTCCTTTGCTACTCTGGTTGCTGTTCGATCTCCTATCCCAGTCCTCTCTCCCGCCACTACTGTGAGCACCTGGCATTACTAAAGGACCCTGTTGCCTGAGATCAGGCTCAGCGCATCTCTCTATTGAACTTGCAAAGAATCTTCATTTATTTATTAATTATTATTTTCATTTTTGTTTTTTGAGACAGAGTTTCTCTGTGTAGCTCTGGCTACCCTGGAATGAATCTTCATCATTTAAAACATGGCTATAATAAATAAGAGCTTCGTTCTATAAGAAGAGGAAGAGATACCAGGGAAACATATTTCAAGCCTAGGAGAATGAGCTTCATCAACTGTGAGCAGTTTAGAAATACCATGAATTTCTCTACCTATTGGCCTAGTGAAGATTACTCAATTTCAATGAATACATTACTCATACATGGTAATATAAATTTGTCTTAAAAGAAGCCAAACCTCAGGGCTGGAGAGATGGCTTAGTGGTTATAAGCACCTTGCTGTGGGACAATGGTCTGTACCCTGTCACTTGTCTTATTTTTAATAAAATGCTGATTGGCCAGTAGCCAGGCAGGAAGTGTAGGCGGGCGACAGCGGCCAAGCAGGAAGTAGAGGTGGGGTAACGAGAATTATGGGAAGAGGAAAGTTTCAGTCTACAGTTGTACCCCAGATTCAGGGGACGCAAGATGTGAGTGCCTCGCCGAAAAAGGTACCAAGCCACGTGGCTAACACAGAC